TTAACCAAGTAATGTGATTACGCCCTAAAGGAATGTTTACCGCTCGGTTGAATGAATTGCGCTCTGGTTTACTCTATTACGTCACGTGCACATGATCATGGAGGATTAGTATAGATGGCGCCTTCAGATTATTTGTGTGTCTTTGACGAGTGAACGAGAGTAGCTAAGCGTGAATAGCCGGCCAAGGACGTCCTCGAGGCACAATTTGGGCATGGCTCCGTCTGACAGCTGAACTCTTGTAAGCCACTATGAATTAGGGGCCAATTTTGGCACCCCCACTCTTGTCCTGACCGCCGACACTTACGCAGAAGTCGAGGGTGGGGCAATGCTACGAACGTTTCTTTCGCACCTCGGCTACCGCAGGAACGTTTGTTCTAACCGACTGACGATCAGTCTAGAGATGAAAGGTTTCGGAGCGGTTCAACTGCTTATTCCTTGGCTATTGTAATGATAAAATGAGGTAGCTTGTGGATTATTAATTTACCACCCTTTATTTTGCTTTCAAAAGCACGGAAACCGGTTGCTGAAATATGTTTGCTTTAAAACGCATATTGGTACTAGATTACCGTATCAAAACCTTATTACCTATGGCAGTAAATCACCAGTAAAGAATTTACTAATTCACAAAGCCAACTTTCCGCAATTATAAGTTTGCGCGCACATACAGATAGGGTAAGAAAGTAATTATAGGTCTCTTTAATTATTTGAATATCCCATAATCAGCTAGAACTTGTATGTTAAAGGTTTATCTTATTAAGTCCTTTCTCTAAGGAGGAATACTAAATAGTTGTAGAATATTGCAGTACAAGCAACGTTTATACCATTTTATCATGGGGTAAAACTATTCATAATTAATTTATATATATATATATATTAATTTATTCACTGAGGTAACTCGATAATGGGATAAAATTGATCACTCATTGAGGTAACTCGATAATAGGACGAGATTCATCATTCACTGGGGCAACTCGAGAGTGAGGTAAGTTTCATCTTACACAGAAGTAGCTCTAGAGTGAGGAGAGATTCATAACTCATTGAGGTAATTCAATAATGAGACGAGATTCATCACTCATTGAGGTAAATCGATAATGAGGCGAGATTTATCACTCACTGGGGCAACTTGAGAGTGAGGTGAGGTTCATCTTACACTAAGGTAACCCTAGGGTAGGGCACGATTCATAATTCATTGAGGTAACTTGAGAATTGGGCGAGGTTCGTTACCCACTGAAGTAACTCGAGAGTGAGATAAGGTTCATCTTTAAATGAAGTAGCTTTAGAGTGGGGTGAGATTCATAACTCATTAAGGTAACTCGATATAGGGACGAGGCTCACCACTCACAAAAGTAATTCGAGAGAAAGTAAAGCTTCATCACCCATTGAAATACCTCGAGAGTGAACACTCGAACTCAATTATTAAGTTAGCTTGAGAATTGAATGGGTTGACAGTTGAAAAAGCTCGTGTGTAATGATGATTAGGAACTAAGTAAATTATCGTGTGTGCGGTGTATTTCGAACTATGGTAAACCAAGAATGAAGTAGATTAAAAACTCGTAAGTTACGTAAGCTAACTAATAGATTAACTTAGGGTATCGGAGGATTACTCATTGTGTTAACTCTTAGGGTGAGATGGATTAACAGATGAGAAATCTCATTAGCGACGTAAGCTAAATAGTAAAAACATGAAAAGTGATGTGATCATTCACTGAGAACGAGATAGTGGCTGACGAACGCAGAAGTCATGTTTTAGTGATTAAAAAGTGCTAGTGATGAAACGAACAACGACAGTGAAGGAATGAAGTATATATATAGTGTTTTGTTTGTTTTGAATTTCGCGCAAAGCTACACGAGGGATATTTCAGGAAATGACTGGCAGATGATTAAGGCGTCGTGGGTCAGTGAAAAGGCCTTCACGGACTCCCGATTTTACACTATTGCACTTTTTGCTTTTGAATATATCAAACACGTGAGGTTTGTCACACGTCCACATAACCCAGAAGATGTGAAGCAGAAGTTTTGTTTATTTTGAATTTCGCGCAAAGCTACACGAGGGCTATCTGCACTACTCGTCCCTAAATTAGCAGTGAAAAATTAGTGGGAAGACAGCTAGTCATCACCACCCACCGCCAACTCTTGGGCTACTCTTTTACCAACGAATGGTGAGATTGGCCGTAATATTATAATGTCCCCACGGCTGAAAGGGCGAGCATGTTTGTTGGGACGGGGATTCTAACCAGCGACCCTGAGGTTGCGAGTCGAGCGCCCTAACTACTTGGCCATGCAGGGCCTTTTAAATATATTAACAAACAAACTAGGTCCGCATCTAATATACTGTATCTACGGGTTAAGTATAATTTTGAATTCACAAGAGAAACCAAGAGATAATAATTAGTAGTGACTGGAGCCGGACATGAACTCGTGGCTAGCTTGCAAGACTGTGATTCACAAATTCTATGGTTCGTATCCCATTGTCGCAAAAATGTGTAGTGTGCTTTACGTCTGTGGATGCGTTTAAAAATTATGGTAGATACCTCTTTTCGAATACAGCAACCCAAATGTTTGTGGTGGATGTTATAGACTAGCTGCCTCATCTCTAGTCTGTCACTTGATGGATCAGCAGTAAGTTACGGACTTACAATTCGTCAATGACATCTTCAGTGATTCTATGAACAGACTCATTGAGTTCCTGTGGTCTTGCTCCTGACTTTGTTAACTTTTTTCTGTGCTTACACGAAAAACAAAGAGTTGATTTCAGTTCTGTCTTCAATGTTTTAACCTTCGTCTCTATACGGGTTTTGTCATTTTATCCAACCTTGCAACAACCATGTAACTATGAAACTATACTATAACTTTTAATGTAATAAGTGTATTTTCTCGAAATTTCGCAAGCTTTTATTAAATATTACAAGTCTTTTGTGCACAAACAAGCACACACACACAAATACATTGTTTTTTTAATTAATTAATTTTACAAAAGATATTACAGCGAATTTATGGAATCAAAGTCTGACTAATCTGAGTGTAAGGTGATTTTCGTAAGATTAAAAATACTTTTTTCATCTTATAGTTATCATATTTCATTTTCATAACCTTTCGAACCTCCTAATTGAATATCAAAAGTTTTTCCAGTAAAATGTTATATTTTATCTGTTATTTTCTTTAACTGAACGTGCGGATAGTTGTTTGATAGTGTTTAAGTAGAGTATGACTAAATTAATAGTTTTACTCAGAACATCTAACAGAAATAACAGATGAGGTATTTAAATTCGATGACGAAGAACCCACTTGAGACTAATAATGGTTGGAGACGGCTTGAATGAATAATAAAGAAAAACTTTAATATAAGTTTAACATAACAGCAAGTCTACAACGTTTCGATAAGGTTTTGTCATCATCAGGTAGAAGTAATTTAAACTGACACGGATATATATATATATATACAGTATTGAACAAAGAAGTCACATGACCGGAAGTGTTGGTTTAGAGTAGGATGGTTTTGTTCAATTAAGATAGATTCCTTGATTTTTCGTTTGTTTATGTT